CAAATGCCCTGGCGGGTGCCATGGTACCCACAGGCACCGCGTTGGGGACCACTGTGGTAGAGGCTCATGGCTTTAGCCCCTAAGATCCCAGGTTCAATACCACCTGCCAAAGACACCAATCCATCATCATTACAAGTGAGGGCTCATCTGGGATGAATTTCTGAGAGATCTGTGAAGTTCAGGAAATACTTCCTCAGCCAAGGGAAGTATGTAACCCAGAGGCACTGAGAAGAGAGAAGGAAGCGTGCTCTACGCCTTATCAGAGTTAAATGGCAGAGCCGTAGCGGAGGGTAGGTCCGGGACCCGGAGCAAGGTTTGGGACCTAGCCCTGCTGTGGCTCTGCAGTTTAAATGTAGTAGGATCCAGGCTGCCTGCACACCCGGCTCCTACCACATTTAAACTGCAGAGCTGCAGAAGGGCCCCTTACCGACAATCATGTAATCGATACAATTTGTATCATTACCTGCGTCTTAATTTCCTTAGAGCCTACAATGGTTTACTCCATTCATGCCTAAAACTGCATTATTCTCACAGATGTTTTAATGCCTTATCCAGAAAAGGCTGTCAAATTTTGAATCACAATTTAAAGGGCTAAATGACAACTCCTATAATTAGGGCCCTCCCAAATTCACAGCCATGAAAAATGTGTCATGGACCATGAAATCTGGTTTTCTCCTGTGAAATCTAGTTAGTGTTTTTAACTATACTATACAGATTAGGGCTCCTGACCCAAAAGTGGGTTACAGGGCAGGAGGGAAATGGGGAGGTCGCAAGGTTAGTTTAAGGAGGTGTATGCAGCAGTGTTCCCTCTAAGATTTTCCATCCAGGAGCAGAGTGAGTTTTGTCTTGTGCACCAATGCTGAGGTCATGTATATGCGCTTGTTTGGATGTGTGCCACCCAAGTTATAAACAAAAATATATTTCTAAAATGTTATGGAAGAAAGAATACCAAAACAAGGGATAATTAACAGCAGCCACACCACAGTCCAAGGTCCAGCTCCGGCAGCTGCCCTGCGGTCTACTTCAAGAGCAGCCCCACACAGCCCTAACCCCAGCTCCAGCCATTCCCCTGGAACCAGAGCCACGTGGTGACTTCCCGGCTGCTCCCAAGTGGCCGCTCCAGCCACAGGAGCAGCAGCCACCGCCCTCTGCCCGCCATGTGGCTCTGGACACGGCCCTCAGAGCAGCCACAGTCTGCCATGTGGCCCCGGCCCCAAGCAATCACTACACGGGCCTGGCTGCAGCTCCAGTCCTGGGGAATTAGGGACAGCAAAGAACGGCCAGGCTGAGCCTCCCCACTTGCCCACCACCACCCTAGCAGCAGCAGCTCACCTTCCACTGACATTACTGCACAGCTCTTCTTTGGAGATGGGCGTGATTAAAATTTCCTCTTAGTGCCTGTGCAAGTGCGCACCTTAGAAGGGACTTTGTTATGCAGTATTGCCACTCCTACTTGTGCACTGCCTTCACGGTGCCCCCCTCTCACTATATTTACGGGGGGGGGAGAGTGGCAGGACTCACAGCTCAGGGCAATGTGGGGAGCAGGTCTCTGCCTTACATTGCTAAGTGTTCCCCTCTCTTATTTGAGTTTTTGTATCCCAAACTCATAACTTCCGTCATCTGAAGAAGTGGGCTGTGCCCACACAAACTGATGATACCCTCTACATGTTTTGTTAGTCTGTAAAATGCTACCAGACCATTTGTTGTTTTTTTTCTGTAACAGACTAACTCGGCTACCCCCTGAAGCTTCAGGAATCCCAGGTGACGATAAAGGAAAGATAATGAGTCACACCCATACACCTAGGCTGTGTCTACACTGGCATGAATTTCCGGAAATGCTTAAAACAGAATAGTTTTCGTTGTAAGTATTTCCGGAAAAAGAGCGTTTACATTGGCAGAAGACATTCAAATCTGCACTTGAAAGGGAATCCTCTGAACTGGCATTCATGCTAAAATTCGACACTCTCCGCACGGGACTTAACAAAGACCCCAGCTATCTTACCCATTACAAAGATAGCTTCCCCCATTATCACCTCTAATTCTATTAACTCACAGACATCTCCCCTTCCCCACCTCTAATATCATTAACTCACTGGCATTCACCTCCTTTCCCCCCCCCACACCCCCTTCTGTTCTGTAATGTGATTTGTCCTTTTCATGTGTGTTCATTTTTTTAATTGTATCCTTTGGTATATATGGTTGTGACTATTTTCTTCCATTATTTGATCTGAGGAAGTGGGTCTGGCCCACGAAAGCTCATCATCTAATAAACCATCTTGTTAGTCTTTAAAGTGCTACATAGCCTCCTTTCCCCCCCCCACACCCCCTTCTGTTCTGTAATGTGATTTGTCCTTTTCATGTGTGTTCATTTTTTTAATTGTATCCTTTGGTATATATGGTTGTGACTATTTTCTTCCATTATTTGATCTGAGGAAGTGGGTCTGGCCCACGAAAGCTCATCATCTAATAAACCATCTTGTTAGTCTTTAAAGTGCTACATAGTCCTGTATTTCGTTTCAGCTACATTGGCAGGCTGCTTTTCCGGAAAAGCCCTTTTCCGGAAAAGCATCCGTGGCCAATGTAGACGCGCTTTTCCGGAAAAGAGCTCCGATTGTCATTTCCGCGATTGGGGCCTTTTTTCCGGAAAAGACGACTGGGCTGTCTACACTGGCCCTTTTCCGGAACAGTGTTCCGGAATAAGGACTTATGCCCGAGCGGGAGCAGCGTAGCTTTTCCGGAACAGCGGCTGATTTTGTACAGTCGAGCGTCGTTGCTTTTCCGGACATTCAAGCGGCCAGTGTAGGCAGCGCGCAGCTTATTCCGGAAACGCGGCTGCTTTTCCGGAATAAGTGGCCCAGTGTAGACACAGCCCAGGGGTGAGCGAGACGGCTCAGGAAAGGGTAGGGGGGTTAAAAGGTATCCTGCCTGGGGAAGGGGGTTCTCCCTGATAGGGAGGAAGGATACTGGCCCCTCCTCTCCCGCTCAGCTGGGGACACTGCGGTTTGGGGCCAGGATAAGAGGTGGGGGGGGGGGGGCGGAGGGTCCCCCG